ATTATTGGTCCCCCTGGCACGGAGGATGAGACCCCCCTGCCCGGAGGGTGAGACCCCTTTGCGGGGCACCCAAGAGCCCTTGCAGGGAGGACGAGACCCTTTGCATGGCACCTAAGCACTCTCTCATGGAGGTTGAGACCCTTTGCGGGGCACCCAAGACCCCTTGCATGGAGCCCAGACCATTTGCAGGGCACCCAAGCACCCTTTGCACGGAGCCCAGACCCTTGCACGTCACCCAAGCGCCTTCCAAGGGCACCCAAGCACCCTTTGCACGGAGCCCAGACCCTTGCACGTCACCCAAGCGCCTTCACAGGGCACCCAAGCACCCTTTGCACAGAGCCCAGACCCTTGCACGTCACCCAAGTGCCTTTCAAGGTGCCCAGACCTTTGCAGTGAGCCCAAGTGCCCTTTGGGTGGCACCTAAGTACCCTTGCATGACACCCAAGCACCTTTGCATGGCACCCAGATGCTTTGCAGGGCACCCAAGTGCCCTTTGCACGGTGCATGAGCGCTTTTGCAGTGAGCCCAAGCGCCCAGACCCTTGCACAGAGCCTGAACGTCCATGCACTGTGTCCCAAAAATCCCGGAAAGACCTTCCCCAGGGATTATTTGCCCTGTTTTGACCCAAATATGGAGATCCCTTTACCACTCATAGCAACTTTTTGCCGAACCTGAGGATGCTTTGGCAATTTGGGCCACTTTGGCCTCACATCTGGGCCCGCTTTGCCTCTTCGGGCCTTTCTCGACCCAAATCTGGGCCAGCTTTGCCTCTTCGGGCCTTTCTCGACCCAAATCTGGGCCTGCTTTGCCTCTTCGGGCCTTTCTCGACCCAAATCTGGGCCTGCTTTGCCTCTTCAGGCCACTTTTGACCCAAATATGGACATGCTTTTCCTCTTCGGCAATTTTTTGATCCAAATCTGGGCCTGCTTTGCCTCTTTGAGCCACTTTTGCCCCAAATCTGGGCATGCTTTCCTGCTTCAGGCCACTTTTGCCCCAAATCTGGGCATGCTTTGACTCTTTGAGCCATTTACGCCCCACATCTGGGCACACTTTGTCTCTTCGGGTAACTTTAGGCCCAAATCTGGGCCTGCTTTGCCTCTTTGAGCCACTTTTGCCCCAAATCTGGGCATGCTTTGCTTCTTTGGGCCATTTCTGACCAAAAGCTGGGCCTGCTTTGGCTCTTAGGCATCGTTTTGCTGGATATTTGGGAATGCTTCTCCTTTCATGGCCATTTTTGCCCCAAATTGGGGCACCTTGCTCTATTTATGCCCAGTTTGACCTGAAATCTGGCTATGTTTTCCCAACGTGCCTGCTGTTACAGCAAATCCCGCCATTTCTCTCTCTTTGTGGCCATTTTTCCCTCGCTATGAGGATGGTTTTGCTGCTTCTTGCCGGTGCTGCCTGAAATCCGGGAATGTTTCACCCTCTAAAGCCATGTTTCCGACAGCTCTGAGGATGGTTTTTCTTCTAGAAACTTTTCTCCCCCAAAAACTGAGGATGCTTGTGTTTGTTATGGGCATTCTAGCAAATCTGTGCCTGGATTTGCACTTTGTGCACAGTTTTGCTCCCAAATCCGTTTCTGTTTTACTTCTTTTAGGGGGATTTCAGGGTGCGGGAGGGATGAGTTCGGGCGTGCGTCCCCGCAGAGGAGGGGGCTGCGCTTTCTTCTAGAAACTTTTCTCCCCCAAAAACTGAGGATGCTTGTGTTTGTTATGGGCATTCTAGCAAATCTGTGCCTGGATTTGCACTTTGTGCACAGTTTTGCTCCCAAATCCGTTTCTGTTTTACTTCTTTTAGGGGGATTTCAGGGTGCGGGAGGGATGAGTTCGGGCGTGCGTCCCCGCAGAGGAGGGGGCTGCGCCGGGGGGATTTTGTGCTGCCCTGTGGCACCGTGGGTGCTGGTACTGACTGTTGTTGGAGTACTCTTTTCTATAGGTGCAGTAGTTACAGTTGTGGTGCTTCTCACGGTGTTGCAGGTGGTGCCAAAAACGGTGCTGGGGCTCAGCTCGGCTCCCGGCAGCGGCCGCGGCCACCCGGCGGGGCGTGCCCGGCGGCTGCGCCAACCGGGGGGGCCTTTCCCGGGGGACCAGCCCCCGCTTCTGCCCTCTTCCCCTTCCTCACCACTTCCGCACCCAAACTGAGCACATTTTCCCTTTTATCTCCAAGTTTTGCCCTCAAGCTGGACACGTTTCGCCCTTTATTGTCACTTTTGCAGCACAGCTGGGCACGCTTTGCCTTTTCTGCCTGGTTTGCACCCACACCTGGGCGTGCTTTGCCTCTTGGGCGCGGTTTGGCCCCAAATGTGGGGATCCTTTTGCCTGCGATGGCTCTGCTTGCCCCAAACCTGGGGCAGTTTGGGCCAGTTCCCCTTCCTGGACACTTTGGCAGCACCTCTGGGGATGCTTTTATGTTTTTCGGGTATTTGTGCAGCAAATCTGGGGATGTTTTGTCTCCTAGGCACAGATTTGCCCCACGTCTGGGCACGTTTGGCCATTTTGCCCATAGTTGCAGGACATGCGGGGATGTTTGGCACTTTATGCACAGTGCTGCCCCCAATCGGGGCAGGTTTTGCTTTTAGGAGCATTTTTGCCTTAACTCTGGGGATGCTCTTGCTGTTCAGGACCATTTCTGTGCCAAGGGTTGCCATGCGTTGCCCTTTCTGGTCCTTTTGCCCCCGCTGTGGCCATGGCTTTGGCTTTTCTGCCCACGCTTGCAGCAAACCTGGGGATGCTTTGCCCCCGATCCAGGGTTTTACCACAGCCCTGCGCACGCTGTGTGACTGATGAGCATTTCTGCCCAAACGTGTGGATGCTTTTGGGTTTTGGGGCCAGTCTGCGGGAAATCTGAGGAACTTTTCCCTATGAACACCATTTTTCTGCCAATAGGAGGATGCTTTTGCCCGTTGTGCCCAGTTCTGCCCAACTCTCAGGATGCTTTTTCCTCCTTCTTGTGGTGATTTTTGCAGCCAATGTGGGGATGGTTTGCACTTTGTGTCCAGTTTTGCTCCCAAATCTGGTTCTGTTTTTTGGTTTTGTGGGCATTTTGGGAGAGGAGAGGGAGGAGCTGAGCCTGTGTGCGCTGGGGCGTGCGTCCCCGCAGAGGAGGGGGCTGCGCCGGGGCTGTGTGCGCTGGGGCGTGCGTCCCCGCAGAGGAGGTGGCTGCGCCGGGGGGATTTTGTGCTGCCCTGTGGCACCGTGGGTGCTGGTGCTGGTGGTTGTGGTAGTAGTTATGGTTGTGGTGGTTGTCACGGTGTTGCAGGTGGTGGCAAAAACGTTGCT